ATATGTATTTTGCCACAATAAAAAATAAATCAGGAAAAAAGTACATAGGAATGGATTACAAAGGAGATACATCCTATGGAAACTACACTATTAAATTAAACAAGCAGGGAAAAGATTATATACAAAGGGAACCGCTGAAAGATAAAATGTGGTCTGGTTAACAAATCCGAGATAATATTCGCTTTTCCTTGGATGGGTACCTCTGTGAACCATAAAAAAGGAGACAAAGAGGAAGGCTTTGGGCAGGGTGTACTGAATCCTCCGTGCAGGAGAGACGTTCCACGGAGAGAAGCACCCAGGCTCGGGACAGAGCCCTGGAGGGTGCGACAAGCACATAGTGAAACGAGGGGACTTTTCTTTTGAGGTTCTCAGGTAGACAGGAAGAAGCGTTCTCAGGAAATTTACAAAGTCCCTTTGCCCCACTTCTTTGCTCAGCCAGCAACCATCTGATGATTAATTAAATTGGTATTATGGATTTTAAATAAGTCTTCTCTAATCTGGTTACTATTTATCCAACTCCAGGAGCTTGTTCAACTCAAGGTACACGGACAAATCCGAATTACTTAGTCTACAAAGATCCAAGACCTCAAACGTGATTGCCCCTTCCCCCACCAGCTGCCCCAGGCGGGTGAGTCCAACCATTACCCCCACCTCTACCTAATCAGCTTATTCGCCATAACGTTAATGCAGGCTTGAATGTCAACCGGCTAACAGTTGACATGCACCCTCAGAAAAGAAATGAAGAAGAAAAGGTTTATCTAGGATATAAAAAGACAGGTAATAAATAAGCCTATTCATTATAAAGGAAAAGAAAATAAACTAATCCAAGCAGGCCTGAATGATTCATTAGCTACAACTATATTTTCTACTAAAAGGGGGAATATGATCATCAAATTCATCTTTGTCACCTCAATAAACTGTCTTGGCTAGACCTAAGAAAAGAAATAAACTTGTAGATTAAGTGCCACACACACGTTCCTTTGTCTTCTGGTACCAGATTCTTACAGGTGCGGATTCGCACCTCAGATCTCGTAGGATCTACAGCAACCATTCGCTTTCCAAGAATGTAGTGAGCCTTGCTCTTCATTCATCTGGCTTGGCAGATCCTATGCAAGGCTTTTTCTAAAAAAGCTTTCACAACCCAAAGAAGCCCTGGCATCCAGACCATCAGACCTCTGGGTCTCTGTGTGTGCCCAGATGAACCTGAGTTTATCACACATCACCTCCTAGGCAATAAACGCTGGACTTTTTGTGTACGTATCCTCAATGCAGGCTCCCTACAAGCCGTGCCTCGTACTTAGGCAAAACCCAGTCCCCTTATCTCTCCTGCTTCAGCCTGGCTCTTGCTTCTCTCACCTGAAATACTGCACACCTCTCCTTGGGCTCCCTTGCTCGTACTCCACACTTGATGCATTTGCTGGAGTGCTCTGCCACAATTCCCTCTTCCTTTTGTAAGAAGACAAGGAAAAGAACAAAAACTTCATCTCTGAGAAGTCTAAGGATGGTTCTCCGATCACACGCGGTATCCGTGCTGCTCTCCGAATAACCTTGTTTTCCCACCTCCTGCTCTTGTTCCTATTCAAATTTCAGTCCTGTTTGCCAGATCAATGACAGATCAGAAAACATGGAAATCAAAACTCGGAGGCAAGCTAATGCAGTGAATTCCGGAATCAACGGTTCAATGATGGCAGCAGGGTCAATAGTAAGGTGAGATTTATCAGGGATAAGTCTAGACTTCCCAGATTTAGATTTCAAAGTATGTGGTGGAATATATATATATTCCTGCTGATATATGCAGTCCTGTTTGGAAGAAAGGTTTTCTTTGCCATGTTAATGAAGCTGTCATCAGCGCCCTAAACCTGATCATTCCTAAATTACAAACAACTGCTCAAAGGGCGAAGTACGTGCGGGAGAAGAGAGATGCCATGTGAAGATGATGGAGACCCAAACAAAGCCCAGGACCCCCACCTAGGTGGCGGGCCTGGAGGTGCACCTGGCTAAGGCTAAGGACAGACAGGATTTTGAATCCACCTCAGGCACTTCTGAATAAAGGCCTAGTGGTTAACTTATGAAAAAATCCACAACTGGAAGCCCCATGGTTCACAAAAATCCAATTTTCAACCCACTATGGATGGCACAGGATCAGACATCATTGTGTTCCACTGTGAAAGGGGTGGCCATAGGAGGCAGTGTGGAGTGGGGGGCTTGTAGGACGAGCCCAGCAGGTAGGGGGAGAAAGGAGGGAGTGCAGTAACTCAAGGACAGCTCAAACCAACAACATTCTTTACCTAGAAGGATGACTGACAGTTCCTAGAGTGCCTTTATATCCTCTTATTTTTAAAGATATAAGGACAGTCAAAAGATATGGCGTCTGGGGTCTTAAAAGCTTGAAGGTAAACAAGCGGCCATCTAGCTCAGAAGCAACAAAGCCCACATGGAACAACATATCAGCCT